GCCTGACACAGGGTTCAATCCCACAACCCTGAGATCATGACCTGAGCCAAAACCAAGAATCAGACACTTAACCACCTGAGCCACCTAGGTGCCCCTGGTTTCATACTCTTGAAGTATAATTCCTAGTTTCTTGCTTTATTTCTCTTTCCCTTTTCATTTATTTTTTATTTTTTTAAAGATTTTATTCATTTATTTGACAGAGAGAGAGAGAACAAATAGGCAGAGAGGCAGGCAGAGGGAGAAGCAGGCTTCCCGCTGAACAGGGAGCCCGATGCGGGGCTTGATCCCAGGACCCCGGGATCATGACCTGAGGTGAAGGCAGCGGCTTAACTGACTGAGCCACCCAGGCGCTCCTCCCTTTTCATTTTTTTAAAGATTTTATTTATTTATTTGAGAGAGAGAGAGAATGAGGGGGGAGCGGATGGGCAGAAGGAGAGGGAGAAGCAAGGAGTCTGAAGCGGGACCTGATCCAGGAGCCTGGGATCATGACCTGAGCCAAAGGCAGATGCTTAACCGACTGAGCCACCCAGGGTGCCCCTCCCTTTTCTATTTTTAAAGATAGTTCTCACCTCCTACAAATAATCATCCACCTATTCTAAGAGGTAGAGATTGAGTGTTCTCATAACCAGCCATAAGTCAGTGACAGCCTTTTACTCTTGTAAATAGAAACATAAATTCTGTCCTGCATGTACTTCACAGGCTGCCTCTCCAGCATTTTCCTCCACAGCCAAGGAATGTGCAAGGCTTCTGAGTCAGCAGTCAGCTGCCACGGGACAAAACATGCAGGATATTGTCCACTGGCAGAAATTGCACCAGTGCCCTGGAAACCTGGCATCATCTCCTCTTCCTCTTCCCTCCTCGGGCTCCTTACTTCCCTTTTCCCTTCCTTCCACACCTTGGCTTTTCAGTCCCCAGGATTTCTGGCACCTTCCGGCCAGGTTTCCTGGTCTCTAGGTTCCTGTAATTATGAATACGGAATTTTCCCAGGATACTAGCATGTTTGGCACACAGGGACGGTCCAGGAGAGGCCAGGAGGAGCAGGATCTGAGTTGACCTTCAGGAATGAGAGAAATGAGGGCAATAACAGGAATGGCCCTTCTGCAGTTCTCCCCAACTGCTCTCAGAATGAATCAGAATGCCAGATTCCCCTTGCTAAATGACACAGTCCCAGTCCAGCAGAGTTACAGAGTAATGCTGTAGCACTTGAGAGTGTCTTCCTGCTGTGGTCATTTGGCTTGCAAAGTAGGAAAAGTGAGGCAGCCCAGGGGAATTAATCTTGTGTACTCTTACCTTGGGTGCTTGTCACATTGTTACAGGAGCCAACTTACCTCTATTTATCTGTTGTCATTAGTGACCTACAGGTTGAAATCCCTTAGAGTGGGCATTTAATACTTGACTACTGCTTGGAAGCAGACTCTCTTTAACTGCCTGGGAGCTGTGGCTGAAACCTGAAAGTCAGCAGAAGGATTGGGGGCCAGTTATTAATGAAGGTGTTCATCTGTGGTGGGGGTTGATTTGGAAATTCTCTGTGGTGGTTAGTAGCTCTGTGGAAGTGAATATTTCAAGCAGAGTGGGCTACAGCCAGCCAAGGGGGTGTTAGCGTACAAAGCAGATTTTTTCTTTGAAAATAAGTGCCCAAGACACTTTAGGGAGGTGTAAGCATAAGATAGGCCTTATGACAGGAGAAAGGCTTTTTAGAAATAATGTTGCAGGATCTTTTTTTTAAGATTTTATTTATCTGAGTGAGAGAGAGAGAGAGCACGCGCATGCATGCAAGCTGGGGGAGGGGCAGCAGGAGAGGGAGACAATCTCAAGCGGACTCCACACTCGGCGCGGAGCCTGGCTCGGGGCTTGATCTCAGGACCCTGGGATCACGAACCAAGCCGAAACCAAGAGTCAGATGCTTAACCAACTGAGCCACCCAGGTGCCCTAAAGTTTCAAGATTTTTAATGTGTTGGTTTCAGTAAGAACATCCTGGTACTGAGTGCTCCAAATCCTGGCAAGGAGTGGAAGGTGACTGCAGTTCAGGAACAAAGAGAGATCATTTTCTTCTTTGGCAAGAGGCAGAGAGATCAGACCAGGTGTTTTCAAAGCTTTCCAAACATTATGACTCTGGTGGAGTCAAAGTCGACAATGAACACAGGTCGGGCATGCAGGGTCAGAATTGCAAAATGCTGTCTGTTTGCCCAAAAAGCACATAAAGCCACAGAAACCTACACAAGGAAGGCAAGAGTCAATCACTCTGGGACCTTTTTTCTAGTTATTGGTTGTTACCTGTCACCCTTCTGTCTTTGGATAAACACATCTGTTTTTTCTGCCCCTATAAGACATCTTTTCATTATGTACCATTTCTAAGATAAGCCTTGGCATATAAGAAAAAGAGTGGGCTCTTTTTAGGAACTTTAAAATATTTCTCTTGCTGCGTATTGTTTCCTAGAATAAACTTTATTGAGGGGGAACTGGAGGTTAGTTCCAGTTAATTCCATTTCTTTTTTTTTTTAAAGATTTTATTTATTTGACAGAGAAGGAGAGAGAGAGCACACAAGCAGAGGCAGAGGGAGAGGGAGAAGCAGACTCCCCACCAAGCAGGGAGCCTGATGTGGGACTCGATCCCAGGACCCTGGGATCATGACCTGAGCCGAAGGCAGACGCTTAACCATCTGAGCCACCCAGGTGCCCCAGTTAATTCCATTTCTTGATGGACTCTTGGCCACTTGTCTACTAGACAAGCTGTGTTTTTTAGCAGTGTAGTTTTTATATCCAGAGCCAGGAGAGATTGTTGAGTAAGTATATATCTGAGATGAGAAGCTGAGTCAGTGTGTTCCAGGTGAAGAGTTACCCTCTTCGACTCAGCCTCCACAGTATATGAAGAGTGCCAGGTCTGCTGACATAAAGGGAAAATGTCAGTTCTTTGTGTATAGCTATTATTTTCTCCCACAGAGCTTAAGACAGGTCTCCTGTTGATTTGATTTAGCCCTTATAATATCATGGTGAGGTGTAGAGAGATGCAGGATGTTACTTCTACTTCACAAAGAGGGATTCTGTTGCAGATGCTTACCCAGTGGTGCCTTCTTCTGACAATTGATTTCATCAGCACATACAGTTTGGTGGCTCCCAGTACTCTTGGATTGCTTCACTAGTGAGTCACTTCTTTCTTCTGTACCCCTCCTGACCACAGTGAATCAACACCCCCCTTCCTCTGTCTCCCCCATCTCCAAGAGTGAGTCCTCTTTAAAGCAAAGTTTCAGTGCAGTCCTGTTTGTCACACACAGTAGTGTGACCATGAGGATTTTCTCAGCACTAAACTCGGAGAACTTCGGAATTGAAAGAGGAGTTTAGAGACCATCCAGTGTAACCGCCTCATCTTACACAAGGGAAAATGAAGGCCTGGTGAGGCAAAGTGACTTGTCCAGGGTCATGCAACCAGTATCTGGCACAGAGGGCTCAGAGCCATGTTAGTGCTCATCCCCTTGCTCTGACCTGCTTCTCTGTTCTTACTATGTCTTAGTTTTCACTCTTGGCCCTTTGTCTCCTACCTCCCAATAATAGTTCTAGGTAGTGATGATACATGAAACGTGGTACAAAAATGATGAAACAGACCCAAGGGAGTGAGTGCATTAAAGGAGCATGTAAGGTGCCTTCTCCCATCTTAAAGCTTCTATCCAGGAAACATAGGGTGGTGGATGTATAGATGTTTTTAATAAGTGGAAGGTGTAGACATTATCATTACTGTCAAATATGTTTGTGGGCAAAATGAAATGGCTATAAAATCTTCCCACCCTGACATGTACCACATGCAGGGGCAGGACTGTTTCAGTCCTTTAAAACCCTACTGACTTTGCCACTTCCGAACTTTGTGCTTCTTATTCTTAGACTGCTGTGACACTGCCCTTTGGTTCTCTTCAGACCTCTCTCCACTGTGCCTCACAATCTTTTTAGAGAGCTCTTCTTTCTCTGCCAGTTCCTTACAAGTTGATGAGTCCCAGATCTCATCCAGGGCCCATGGCTCTCTCTTCCCATGCGCTCTCCTTGTGTGATTGTACCACTTTTGAAGGTTCAGCTACCACCTGTATGCTAATGACTCCCAAATCTGGGCCTGGGTCCCCGGCTACTCCCCTAAGCTTCAAATACATACCTGACTGCCTAGCGAGCATCTCTATTAAGGCAGCTCAGACGTAACAAGCCAAAAGGGAACTCACTACCCTCCCCTTACAAATGAGTTCCTCTATTTTTAATTCATTGGCCTGGTGTCATTATTTACTCAGTGGCCTAAGCTGGAAACCTAGGCATCATTCTTGAGTCTTTCATCTGTAAAAGTCACTCACTCACAAGCCTTCCTATTTTATTTCTTTTCCTACCTTCTACACTTCTTCCCTGCCTGGCTAACACTGACTTATCCTGAAAGACTCAGCGTCATGTTTCAGAGGCTTATCTTCAACAAGGACCCATTATGATTAGGTACTCATTGTCAACGTTCCCAAGTCCCTTGTGCCCCTCTCTCTCTAATGACACTCAGCAAAGTACATTTAACATTCTGTTTATGAGTCTGTCTCACCCACTGAACTGTAAGATCCTTGAAAGCAAACACTGTCTTGCTCATCTTTCCATCCCCAGTGTCACAGATAGTGCCTGGAGTACAGAAGATATAGGATATACATTTGTTGAATGAATGGCTATGACACTTCAGAACTCCATTTGAAAAGGAGTTATGTCGGGCGCCTGGGTGGCTCAGTTGGTTAAGTGACTGCCTTCGGCTCATGTCATGATCCTGGAGTCCTGGGATTGAGTCCCGCATCGGGCTCCCTGCTCGGCGGGGAGTCTGCTTCTCCCTCTGACCCTCCTCCCTCTCATGCTCTCTGTCTCTCATTCTCTCTCTCTCAAATAAATAAATAAAATATTTAAAAAAAAAAAAGAAAAGGAGTTATGTCTCCTAGAAAATGCTTGTAGGTAGAAATTTAGATTTGCTAACCATTCCTTTTTCTTTCTTTATTTTTGTTAGATTAATGTGACAGAATCAGGTGGATCAACAGCCATCCCACTGCCCCCTTTGTTGGGGGCTGCTGAGAGTGGGGAAGCATGGAGGACAGTAAGAATGAGACAATGAATCGCGCTCACGTCCTCTTTGACCGGTTTGTGCAGGCCACCACCTGCAAGGGGACCCTCAAGGCCTTCCAAGAGCTCTGTGACCACCTAGAACTGAAGCCTAAGGACTACCGCTCCTTTTATCACAAGCTCAAGTCCAAGCTTAACTACTGGAAAGCCAAAGCGCTGTGGGCAAAGTTGGACAAGCGGGGCAGCCACAAAGACTACAAAAAGGGAAAAGCATGCACTAACACCAAGGTAAGGGTTTGGCTTCTCCTAGGCCTTGGGGTCACTAACCTAAGGATTTAACCACAAAAGAAAAGACTGTGAGCAGAGATAGGCCAAGGAAAGGGATTGAGTAGAGGTAGACTGGGTGAGACCTAGGCAGAGTCTAGCAGAGACTTAATACAAAAAGTCAAACTCTGTGGATCCATTACCAGTGTTCAGTTGACTGTTCCATGTTCCAAACCCTGTTCTTATTTCATGTATTCACATATTGAACAGGATTTCAGCTATTTAAGTACAACCCTGAAGTCAAATGGTATAGGAACTTTTTTTTTCCCCCTGAGGGCTCTGTTTTGAATTTCACACTGTTAAGAGGATGCAGGTCGCTTAGCAAAGAAGAAGCCATGCCCTGTTAGCATCCTGTCTGAACATGGCTTCATGATGCCTGGCATGTCATCTTTATAAAGTCATCATTCCATACTCAATGACTAATAAGGTCTAGATAGTATTTGCTAACTTGGGGATCTGCCACTTCAGACCTCTTTTCATCCATATTCCGAAGGTTTGTTTTGATAAGCAAGGGCCTTGTAAACCAAAATATTTCTTTTGCTCTCTTCACAATCTAGGGAAATAGAGTTTTCATGAAACAGGTGAGATATTCAGTCACCTGTGCAGGGGTGGGTACAGGGAGGTGGAGAAGGAACAATATATTTCCTGCTTTCCTCCTTATGTGAGAACACCTTCTGGGAGAAGTTTGAAAAAGCTAGCAGGGAAATGAAGCTGCAAATGACTTCATGACTAGATTACTAATGTCCTTTCATGAGCTTTAATTTGCTCTGTGTGGAGACCTAGAGACCCTCCCCCAGTGGATTTGCCTCCGGATAGATACTCATCAGCAAAATTCAAGAAATTCAGAGGCATGACTTTTATGAGTGAGTTGTGGTGTTTTATTAAGAATAATACAAATTAGTTAAGTGTCCATTCTCACCTTGAGTACTTCTCTAGAATGTGGGTCTTTAAGATCATTTCCCTGGACTTTCAGTCCAAAGATGGTGATTTTAGAACTCTTTTCAGCACATAAAACTTTGGCTCTTAAAAGTTGCCTTCTTGGAATCCTTGAGTGGTAGATTCATTTCAGGACTCTTAATATTGTCTGAACTATGTGTTTAATAATCTGTCTCCTTGGACAGAAATCTGCTTGACTTAGAAACCTTTCAAAAGGTCCTCTCCTGTTAATAAAAGATGACATGTGATTTTCAAATCGTTTGTTGAAATGATGACCACTTCAATATATTGCAGATCTACAAGGTGAACATGTGCTGGAATAACAGTTTATTTTTGTGCAGCACTAACAGTTAAGAGTCTCCTCTGTCCATAACAATCACCAGCTTTTCTCTCAAGCCATTGCAGATGCTCTCCTGTGACCCAGATGGGTCTGAAGATTTCTTAGGAGAATAGCCTTACTTGGGGGCTTTAGGGAATGACGGTTATGAGATCATGAAACTGTTATAGAAATGTGAGCTTTCCTGAGAAGTGCTACCTTTGCCCTGAAAGTAGCTATGTTTTTCAGTGTCTCATCATTGGAGCTGGCCCCTGTGGTCTCCGTACAGCCATTGACTTATCCTTATTGGGAGCTAAGGTGGTCGTTATTGAGAAACGAGATGCCTTCTCCCGCAACAATGTCTTGCATCTCTGGCCATTCACCATACATGATCTGCGAGGTCTGGGTGCCAAGAAGTTCTATGGCAAGTTCTGTGCTGGAGCTATTGACCATATCAGTAAGTAAAAACAATCCTCCTGCAGGATCCCACCCCACCCTCTACCCACTTGTTCAGTAGAAAGAGGCAGATTATTTGAGGGAATTACTCAACAGCCCAATTTGTTCTCATATCATTAATGTCTAATGTGCTTGGAGTCAAAATACTTGTGATGAGGTTGTCTATAACCTAGGATTCCTAATTGCAAGTTAACTCCTATGACATGAGTTTAATTTACGGATTTCTAAATTTAGGTCTTGAACTCTTCCTGAGCACTTGCAGTGGGTGGCATGGGCATTGGGGCCAGGCTAGAAAACACTACCAATTTGAGCCTTGACCCTCTGGTGGTTCTTAGTCCAATGGAAGAAGCACAAAACATGAGTCTCTCTCTAATGTGATATGATAGATACTCTACTAATGTAAGAACAAAATGCTATGGGGACAGTACTGGGGAAACCACAGTTTTAGAAGCAGCCTCCTAGTTTGGTCACCAATGGCAAGTCAGTAGTGAGATTCATTTGGTTAGGTGATTCTCATGAGGTCGACAGCCTGGATAACTCTTGGCTGTATTTTTGTCATCTCCAAGCTTAGCTTGGGCCTATGCTTTTCTGAGATCCTATAGAGTAAACACAAGTCAACGCAGACAGTGATTTTCTTTCCATGACTGTTAAGTGGCCTATCTGAAAAGTGATTCAGAACAGACAATGTCTACATTATGAAGTTCGAGTCTTGTTTATTGATCATCGTTAATGATTCCAGGAGAGTCTTATCAAGGAACTTTTGTTCTGAGCTCCTCCGGATATGTCCTGCAAATACATCAAACTGCTGAACTGTTTGCTCTTCGAAGTGGTTGTGCCAATTTATCAAACCTGGCCAACAGCTGCCACATTCCATTGGTAGAGGAAGCACTCTGCCCATCTGTTGGGCTATAATATATAAAGCATCTTGGAATCCAGTTGTCTGCAAATATTAAATGTGTGCTAGAATGGGATTTAATGAGGCTTTAGGAGTGTAACTCAGAAGGGTGGTGGTTTTGATAAGCTGGGGGAAAGAACTGAGATGACTTAGATGAGGATTTGCACGTACCAGATTAGTCAGAGGCTGCAGGTGAGATTGGTCTTAAGAGAGGACCAAGGGTCATTTGATTTGTCTGGATTTGTCTGACTTATGTGGGATTTGTCTTGGAACTGAGAGGGTCCTACATTAGGGACTAGATTTTTATCTCAGTAGGCCTGGGGCTGCTACCATGTCTGACACTTGGTGGTCATTCATTGGACATAGAATAAATAAATAAATCTCACTGTGATAATGATCAAGATTTTCACTCATTTTGAGCCTCAGTTTCTGCACCTGTAGATCAGTGGTGGGAGGGAGAATGGTAAGAGACTAAGGTTGGATTAAGGTTTCCCCTTCTCACTTTTATAAGAGTGTGTGAAGATCAAGGAGGTAATAGGATGAAAGGGAGATGCTGTGGGAATCTCAGGAAGTAGTGCAGCCCCTTTGTATCAAACTGGAAAACCCACCTGAGGGTGCACACGTTTTGCCTTCTCTGGTAAGTCCCATGTCCTGTCGGGATTGTAGATTCCACTAGATGACCATGACTCTGTCTGAATCAGAGGAAGATGGAAAAGAGAGTCTCCTGGTGGCCACAATCTGTGTTGTCTCAGAGCTTTTGGTTGCTTTGAACACCCAACCCAAGAGGTGGGAGTGGCCTTAAATGTCTTTCTAGAACATCTCTTGCACTGAATTGTATTTGCCCTTAAAAAAGAAAGAAAGAAGCTGTAGAGCATGGCTTGGAAAATGTCTCCAGCTACAGGAGGCTTTGAGAATCTGGATAAACTGTGTAGGTGGGCAGGTGAGAACCTGAGCAGTAATTGCGACTAGTACTCTCTTTTCAAGTGTGCCCTCACTAGTATCATCTTTTTGTTCCCCCAGGTATCCGTCAGCTTCAACTAATACTTTTGAAAGTAGCCCTGATCCTAGGCATTGAGATCCATGTCAATGTGGAATTCCAAGGTCTTGTACAGCCTCCTGAGGATCAAGAAAATGAACGTAAGTTGGATTGGACAAATGAAAGGGATAAAAGGGCATGGAGTGTGTGAGAAAAGATGAGATCAAGGGAGAAAAGTACAAGAATCTGTGGGTTGTTTTCAGAACTAGTTAAAGAAGTTTCTTCAGTTGTATAGCCTATACCTTTCAAGGAACTTTTGACTTAATGAGGAGGCTTTTGACATAGTATTAGATGTTGTAAACACTTGATTTCATTATAGCAAATCATGTCGTGGGGAACATTCTTTTGTGAGCCTTCTCCAAGGCTTCTTTTTTCCCCTGTGTTTTGTACCCCATGCTTTTACTCCTAGTGTTTTCAGTTTTCAAAACCTAGGGTTTTGTGCAGTTTGTATCTAGAGGTGTCTTAGGTGTATGAATATAGTCTGGGTAATGACCTTCATTTTGACTTTGGTCCACAGGTATAGGTTGGCGGGCACTGGTCCACCCCAAAACGCATCCTGTGTCAGAATATGAATTTGAAGTGATCATCGGAGGGGATGGCCGTAGGAACACCTTGGAAGGTATTGGTCAATGCTGCTTTGCCTGGTTCATAGCAGAGTGAAGGGTAACCCTCCCCCAACCCTGGGGTGAGAGTTTGTATCATCAGAATCCACATTCCTAAGAATCTGCATATGCAAAAAGAATCTGCGTATGCGTGCTATCTATTCTAACTGAATGACAGGCCCAACCTTCCACTAGCCAACTGGTACTTGGGTTACTTCTTATAGGGCAGTCTTGTTAAGGCACTAGGAGGTAATTAATTGGTTGACACTGCAGGATTATATCTAAGTTTAGTAAGCTGGTGGCTTCCTTTCCTCTCTCTCTCTCTTTTTCTTTCTTTTCTTTCTTTTCTTTCTTTCTTTTTCTTTTCTTTCTTTCTTTCTTTCTTTTCTTTCTTTCCTTCCTTCCTTCCTTCCTTCCTTCCTTCCTTCCTTCCTTCCTTCCTTCCCTTTCTTTCTTTTTCTTTCAATGAACTCCCTTGCACTGAGTAGTATTCTGGTCAGTTAGATTTCAGATTGTTAATATGTGGGAGACTTTGACTTCTTTCCTGAAATTCATATATTTTGGGGCAGGTAAACACCTTATTTTCAGATAAGAATTGCCCTAAAATTTTCCCATTGATTCCCATCCGCATGTTCCCTAATGTCTTCATCAACAGCCCTTCCTGTTTGAAGTGATCTTCCTTCTTCTCTAGCGAGCTGTGGTCACCTCTGAAAATTTTCTTTCCTTCCAGGATTTCGCCGGAAAGAATTTCGTGGCAAGCTGGCCATTGCCATTACAGCAAATTTTATTAACCGAAATACAACAGCAGAAGCCAAAGTGGAAGAGATCAGTGGTGTGGCTTTTATATTCAACCAAAAATTTTTCCAGGAACTGAGGGAAGCCACAGGTTGGTGTAGATGCCTCCAAAGCAATAAGGATAGAAATTTAAATAACTACTTGTGATTTTTCTCTCAGAGGTTTGGTAGGGTGGGTGATCATTGGCATTATTGCTGTTGTTTGCCCCACTGCTCTTTTTCTTTCTATAGTGCTTTCCTTATTACTGTCTCCTCCTCTAGTATTCTTTACCCTCTTTACAGTGATAGGGCTGTTCTGGGCTTGGTTTTTATTTGTTTGTTTGTTTTTAAGGGTTCATTCTGCCTTTTAGCAACTCTTCTCCAACCCTTTCCCCTATGCTATGGCTCTAAGTGATGGTGCTCAATGCAGTAAGCTACTGATTGGTAGTTCTCTGGTTCTCTAGAACCTAACTTTAGATACTGAGTATACAGTCTTCCGGGGTTCCAGTTTGGACATGAAGTAAACAATGTGCTAGATAGGAATGAGATTGTTGTATGATAGCTTTTGAATAAATTAACTTATTTTGCTGCCACAAAAATGTGCATCAGATTTCATTTCTCTGTTTTCTAGAACACGATTGCTTTCTATTACATCTGTTTTTTAGATTATTGAATTAAAAAGCCAGTAGTTCACGTTCTGCTTCTAGGCATCTAGTTATCTGTCCTGTTAAGAGCAGAGGTGATTCTCCCAGTTGCCTTGATGACTATCAAAGACATTTAACTTGAGAACTAACCCTGACCTCTTACTAGAAGTTAACCTTTCTTTCTCTTCCAGACCTTCTATTTCTGCTTACTATTGATCATGATTTTTAGGATAACTTAGGGTATGAAGTGAATTATAGAGCAGTGCAGGTATAAACATAGCTCCCCCTCTTCTTATGAACTGAATATGCAGGAAGTAAGAATCGGGCTCAGACATCTCTTTATTTTCACTTTCTCTATCCAGAGTGTTACAACCCTGGTCTCTGAGGATCCATGTAAACTTTCTGGCTGCCCTAACGTACCTTCATTTTCAGCAAGCCCCCGTGTGACAGATTTGTTTTCCGGTTGTAGGTATTGACTTGGAGAATATTGTCTACTACAAAGACGACACACACTATTTTGTTATGACAGCCAAAAAGCAGAGTTTGCTAGACAAAGGGGTGATACTGCACGTGAGTAATGGATTTCTTTCAAACCTCTTTTTATGTTGTACTAGTTAATGTGACCACTAAGAGAAAGAATCTTATTGTCTGATGAGTTTTTCCTGCAAGGGAATGAAAATGAGCACCCAACTCATCTCCTAGAAACATGTACTCCTCTAAGGTTTTTTTAGTTTAACTTCTAAAAAATCTTTTGTTATGGAAAATTTCAGATGTACACAAAAGTAGAGAGAATCATACAGTGAACCCCCTGGGCCCATTACCTTGTTTTAACAATTATCAGCACATGGCCAATATTATTTCAGTAGCACCCCACGTACTCCTCACTCCTGCCATTGGATTGTTCTGAAACAAATCTCAGATAACAGTTATCTCAGATACTCAGTTTAATTTTAGGTGATTTGGTTTGTCGTTCTAGCTAATTCCACATATGACTGATTAGTAGTTGGTTAATAGGTCGTCTTTTGGGGGAGGGTGGTAGGGGGACGGGAGTTTGACCTGGAAGCCTGAGAATGGTTCTGGTTTTACTGCAGATATGTCTATCAGACATATCTAGGGAACACTGGCTGGATCAGGGTATATTTAGACCTCTTCATAAACAATGATGAGAGGTCTGGCTCAGCCTTTTTTCCAGGTGGATAATTGTATGACATTCCCTGAGACGATGAACAGAATATGAAATCAGAGAATCACAGGATAGGTGGTTCTTTAAGGAGAGTCTCTTAAGTCTTATTTGGTGTTCAGTCTGAATCAGAATTACTATCCCCATGTGATGAGCTGGAGAGAAGAGGCACTAGATGTGCTGATTCAGGCCTGTACAGTTCTTACCACAGACTTGTGGCTGAATTTCAGGGTGCCTTTGTGTCTGCAGGACTGAGTGATACTGTTGCTGTATCTGAGAGCAGTGGTGGGGGCAAGCCAGTGAGCACGTGCCTGCCGCACAGCCTCTTCCCAGTCACGGACCTAGGACCTCGTATCTGTTTCTCAGCCTTGAGCTCCTTTATGTTATATAAGGAAACAGGACAGAGCAGTTTGTACAGCCCATCCTGCCAAAAACATAAGCAAGATGTACTTGGTTGGATGCTTTATCAATAAGAAATAGCCAGTGAACCTGGTGGTATACTTTGGGACTAAGTTAAGGCAAATCTACCATCTTAGGCAGAACAGTGGTTATCAGTTGAAACTTGTTTTATTGTGCTTCACAGTTACTGCATTTATTTGTTTACTTATTTATTTACTTATTTATTTTACAAAATTGAGGGTTTGTGGCAACCCTGCGCTGAACAAGTCTGTTGGTGCCATTTTTCCAACAGCATTTGCTCATTTCATATTTCTGTGTTATAGTTTGGTAATTCTTGGCAATATTTCAAACATTTTCATTATTATATTTGTTATGGTGATCTGTGATCAGTGATTATAACTTGCTGAAAACTCCAATAATGGTTAGCATTTTTTAGCAATAAAGTATTTTTTAGTCAAGGTAGCTTCGTTGTTTTTTTAGACATAATGCTATTGCACACTTAATAGACTATGGCATAGTGTAAACATAACATATATACTGGGAAACCAAAAAAAATTCATTTGACTGGCTATATTGCGGTGGTCTGCCACTGAACCTGCAGTATCTCCAAGGCATGGCTATATGTAGGAGCAATCTAGAATGCCAAGACCTGATTTACTTTTGCTTTTTATTTATTTTTTTAGAGGGCAGGGGCCACGTTTCTACGTGTGCTGCTAAATACTAACCCAGTTGTGGTCACTTACTTGAACAAACATGGTTTCAAGGACCAACTTGAGTATTTGTGTTTTGACTATTAACATCTTGTAGTGGTAGCTGAAAGTACCATCAGAGTGACACTTGGAAACAAACCTTAGGCCCCACTTTAGGAGAATAAAGATTTGGCTCAGTTAGCCAGGAATCTCCAAAACAGAGAAGAAGTTTTTCAGTCCTTTATGTGGAGAGCTGTTTTTCCTCTCATCTTTGTTTTTCTTTGTTGGTGGGTTTCTGTGGAGCCTTTCAGAATCTTATGTATTATTTTGACAACTTCTGTTCCATTTTCAGTATATTTCTCCCCAGCCCCCTGGACTGCCATTGCTCCCACCTCACATCTTTTTGGCACTGGAGCTTTTGGGTGCTTCCTTTGAGTTTGATGAATTACACAATGCTGAGTATTTTGTGTGGTCCCATTTGCTAGAAGCTATTTGCTACCCAGAAGATAATAATCGCCAATATAACATAAATTATAAAATGCATTTTCAGTTTAGAAAGTACCATCACATAAATTACTTTATTTGGTATTCAAAACAACTCCATGAGCTGGATTAGGCAAGATTAAAGAAGTATGACATGCTCCAAGTAAATGGAAACACCAGGCAGCAAAACCTGTGCTCTTTTAGAAACAGCCTCCCCCATCATTAGTTTTAGATGTAGTGTTCCATGATTCATTGTGCATAACACCCAGTGCTCCATGCAGAACATGCCCTCCTCAGTACCCATCACCAGGCTAACCCATCCTCCCCCCCCCCCCCAGAACCCTCAGTTTGTTTTTCAGAGTCCATCATCTCTCATGGTTCATCTACCTCTCCAATTTCCCCCCCTTCATTCTTCCCCTCCTGCTACATTCTTCTTCTTCTTCTTTTTTTTTTCTTAACATATATTGCATTATTTGTTTCAGAGGTACAGATCTGAGATTCAATAGTCTTGCACAATTCACAGCGCTTACCAGAGCACATACCCTCCCCAGTGTCCATCACCCAGTCACCCCATCCCTCCCACCCCACCCCCCACTCCAGCAACCCTCAGTTTGTTTCCTGAGATTAAGAATTCCTCGTATCAGTGAGGTCATATGATACATGTCTTTCTCTGTTTGACTTATTTCGCTCATCATAATACCCTCCAGTTCCATCCACGGCATTGCCAATGGCAAGATCTCATTCCTTTTGATGGCTGCATAATATTGCATTGTATATATATACCACATCTTCTTTATCCATTCATCTGTTGATGGACATCTTGGCTCTTTCCACAGTTTGGCTATTGTGGACATTGCTGCTATAAACATTGGGGTACACGTACCCTTTCGGATCCCTACTTTTGTCTCTTTGGGGTAAATACCCAGTAGTGCAATTGCTGGATCATATGGTAGCTCTATTTTCAACTTTTTGAGGAACCTCCATACTGTTTTCCAGAGTGGCTGCACCAGCTTGCATTCCCACCAACAGTGTAGGAGGGTTCCCCTTTCTCGGCATCCCCGCCAACATCTGTCATTTCCTGACTTGTTAATTTTAGCCATTCTGACTGGTGTGAGGTGGTATCTCATTGAGGTTTTGATTTGGTAAATAATTTTTAAAAAGAAACTGCCTCCCCCTGTTCTCTCCCTTCATGTGCTCTCTCTCTCAAATAAATAAATAATCTTTTTAAAAATAAATAAATAAATTTTAAAAAGAAACCGCCTCCCCCTTTTCTCTTTGGGTAGAAGACTTATTTTGGAATATGAAATCACTTTAGGAAGAAGGGAAAGGCTGTGAAACTGGCTTACATCTGACATGTGTAGTGTGGTTCTAACGGGGGCTTTTCCTTCGACCCTCTTCTCTCTCTGGAGACAGGACTATGCCGACACAGAGCTCTTGCTTTCCCGGGAGAATGTGGACCGAGAGGCTCTGCTGAACTATGCCAGGGAGGCAGCAGACTTCTCCACTCAGCAGCAGCTGCCATCTCTGGATTTTGCCATCAATCACTATGGGCAGCCTGATGTAGCCATGTTCGACTTCACTTGTATGTACGCCTCCGAGAATGCTGCCTTGGTGCGGGAGCAGAATGGACACCAGTTGTTAGTGGCCCTGGTTGGGGACAGCCTCCTAGAGGTGAGTAGTAAGGGTGGCAGTGCTTTATAGTAGAGGCAAGTAAGGAAGCAGTAATAATTAGGAACAAACGTGAGTATCCCAGGTTGTAGAATGAGTGTTTACAACATTGTGCAGCAGAGGTAGACTCCCTGCAGGAGATACACCAGGAAGTAGGCAAGTTGCTAAGTATGAATGGAAGCTCTGCAACTTTTGTGATTTGCTCCTCTACCAGTTTATGAAGTGGGAAAGCCCAAAATCTGAACAGTTGCCAAAAAGTACTGTCAACAGCAAACTTTCTTTAATTTAGTTCCTCTCTATTGAAAGGTTAATTTATTTTAGTTCTTTTGTTTTCTGTCTCCTTCGTAGCCTTTTTGGCCAATGGGAACAGGAATAGCTCGAGGATTTCTAGCTGCTATGGACTCAGCCTGGATGGTACGAAGTTGGTCTCTAGGAACAAGCCCCTTGGAGGTCCTGGCCGAGAGGTAATGGGAAATATCCAGGGGTCCCTTCCACGAGAAAACTAGGAGTGATGAGTGGTTTGCTCCTCAGGCAGAGTACATGTTTTCTTTCTTCTCTCTCTCTCTCACTCTCTCTTTCTTAATTAAAGATGTTTTCATATTTAAGAGATGAAAAGCAAGATATTGACTAATAAAATCACAGATATGTAAAGACTAAGTGCTCTTCTTTTTTTTCCAAATTAAATTTGTTACTGACAGATGGTATCTGAATTTTTGTATTCCATTAAAGAACAGTATCTGATTCCTTTATGACAGTCACATGAACAAATATATAAGCATAGTACATTAAATCTTCCTGTCCTTAAAGTAGAAAGACTTACGCCAGTGAAATCAATGTGGTAGCAGGGGACATACTAACATAAGAAAAGAAACAAGAAGTGACTTTGAATTCAAAAGGAAACCCCAAACTGCTTGTAAACATTTCTCAAGCTTTCAAATGTCAGCTATGTTAAAGCAGATTATTGCAAACAAGGTAGGAATCCTAGGATTTGTTTGCTAATAAAGAACAAATGCCTTGACTAGAAAACGAGAGAAATATAAAATTTCCTGGGTGTAATTGGTGGTTGATAGCATTTTAAGCCTGTTACCTAAGGTACTCTGGGCAAGTTTGGTGGCAAGTTCTTTTTTCATCTGTGTTTTTCTTAAAAATTAAATATTGGTATTGGCCTACCTGAAAAAACAAAACAGTAAATTAGTTGCCTTTTAAATTAGAATCAGGCTTTTTATCCCAGCCTACCGCAGTGTACTTGCTCTTGCTCCTGGTCCTTAACCAGTCCAGTGCCTGTGGAATCACTGGTGTGGTGGGAATTGGAGCAAGGGCTGATGTAGGTTTGGAGAAAAATGGTCAAGGATGAGGATTTGTCATATCCTTCAGATTATTCGGTACACTGTCAAAAAATAGGAATATTATGGAAGGAGAGGGAGATGTGTATGGTGCTTGTCACTGCTCTGACTAAATTGTTATATGTTCTTGCAGGGAAAGCATTTATAGATTGCTGCCTCAGACCACCCCTGAGAATGTGAGTAAAAACTTCAGCCAATACAGCATCGACCCTGTCACCAGATATCCCAATATTAACGTCAACTTCCTCCGCCCGAGCCAGGTAAGAGCCTTCTAGCCAGTTATCTACACCTGGGCCCATTTTCAGGATGGATCAGGCCTCTGAAACACTGAAATGTGTCTATTAATACCATATACACACACTTCTTTCATAATCCAAGTAGATGTCTCCCTGGAATGGTATCACTTTCCATCAACAGATTGAGCAGCTAAGGGAGGAAGTTGTTGAATGACTTGCCAGAAAGCCCATGTGACCAAAATGGTGGATCCAGGACCTTCTCCAGGGCTTCCTCATTCAAGCTGCATGTTGTAGGGGAGAGAGCACTTGCTCACTACTCAGAAAACGGGACTTCTTGCATTATTGCCACCAGTCACTTTGACATGGACATGTCATCCCGTCTTCTCTGAACCTTAGCTTCATCGATAAAGTGGAGATAATAGTCCTGCTATTCACAGGACCATTGTGAGGGCAAATGAGATTGTTCACTTGAAGGGACTTTGAAAGTCAGGACGCTCTCTGGAAGTTAAAGTTACCATTGGTCAGTTTTGCTGAGCTGCTGAGTTATTTCCCACAATGTCTAAAGTCTTATAATTGCATTAAGAATGACATTTGACAAAGCGCAATAATCCCGAAGAGCCCAACAATTTTTAGAAAGCAGCCCATTCAACATATTTGCCTATGTACTTGTGTAATTTTTTATTCACTTTCTATAAGTTTATGGCTTTAAGCCTTCTATATCCTTTATATAAGGGGGCCATGAGACCTGCTGTCAATGGGCAGTATTAATGGTCCAATAGTGACTATCAGAGGGCCCTCCTTGGCTGAGTAGCTAGTTTTTAGCACAACTTTTTTACACTAATATGTATTTATTTATATGTAACCTCACCACATACCAGAAAGGATTTAAAGGTCATTGTCTTTATCTGAACTTTACCCAACCTGCTATCTTATTAATCTTTCATTTTGCTCTCAGATGGGAACTTACTGTGTGGTGTTTGATTTTCCTTCTTAACTTTCTGCCAGGTGCGCCATTTATACGATACTGGGGAAACAAAAGATATTCATCTGGAAATGGAGAACCTGGTGAATTCCCGAACTACCCCAAAGTTGACTCGCAATGGTGAGTTCTGGTAGTGACCTTTTAAATGCAAGTGACCTATTCAGAGAAATTTGTACTTACTCATTGAGCTGTTAGTGCACACAGTACTGTATAGGCAGTGGTTCTCAACCAGGGGTGATTTTGCCCCCCAGGGGACATTTGGTAGTGTTTGCAGACAGTTTTGATTGTCAGGACTAGGGGAGGGTGCTGTTGGCATCCAAGGACACTGCTGAACCTACAGTGCACAAATCAGCTCCCCACAACAAAGAATTGCCCAGCCAAAAATCTCAGGAATGTCAGGGCAAAACCCTCAGCCTAAGGTTTTAGGAGGGTATAAAGAGAAATCAGGTACAAATCCTGTTGAGAGAGAAAGAGAGAGGAAGTGCGTGCACACACACCAACTAAGGTTTCTTGGGGAAGCTTTAGGAAAAAGCAGTGGCATTTTTAGCTGAGCACTATGACATTGCCAGGACACAGTTATAGAGATAAAAGCCATTCTGTATTTTGTGTTCACTGAAGGACCCCTATAGATTTTTTTAAGAGGAGAGCAACATGAATATACCTGGTCAGCTACATGTAAGATGGGATGGAGAAGGGTAACGCCAGAGGTAGGGCCACTAGTTAGAAATCCACTGTAGTAGTCAGGCTAGTGGTGGTGAAGGCCTGAATCTGATGCTGATGTTGAGGATGGACAAGGGAGCGGAGCATAGTTAGAAGAACTCTGACTTTGGGGCCAGGTGCAACTGGGTCCCAGTCCAAGCTTTGCTATTTGTGAAGTGTGTGGGCTAGAAGAGGATATTTTGCATCTGTGAGCTTTGGTTTCCTTGTCTGTAAAATGGGCATAAGAAATAGTTACTTCACACTGTGGTGATAAATGGCAGCCATTTTGTCATTGTCATTATTAATTATGTGAGTGAGAGTGTATTAAAGAGCCCGAATCAATAGGCATCAGCAGTTTGGTTGCATGGGTCAAGAGGTGGTTGCAGATGTTGCTGCCATCAGTTTGGACAAGGAAATGGGAGGATAAGAAGCTTTGGGTCTGTTTTGAGTATGACATGTTATTGGATTGTCAAGGTGGATTTCACAACTGACAGGCAGTCGGAAACATTTTCATCTTTCCCCACTCGGGTGTCATCTACTTGAAAGCAGACAATATACCTTTGTCACTATCATTTTAGAGCCTGGAATATTGAAGTTACCCAATACATACTGGATTGATGGATATACAGACTTGGGAGACATCTGAATAAAGTTAATTTCTGAAGTAAATTTTTGATTTATGATGATAACAGCAGGAGTGTTTCTCTGTATAATTTTAGAATACATTTTCACCAAAAGACTTAAATGAAATAGGATTTTTATGATATGCAGTTTTTATCTTATGTTCCCAAATCACTAAATGACTTCATACAAGGTTAGATATTTCCAGCTGCCAAAGGTAAGAGAACAGACATTCTTGGACGCAAATGGGAGTTCACAGATTCTTCTAAATGCTCCATATCAGAGCAATTAAGAAAAACAGACTTTTTTAAATTTATTTTTTTAAAGATTTTATTTATTTATTTGAGAGAGAGAGACTGAGAGAGAGAGCACATGAGAGGGGGGAGGGCTGGGAGGGTCAGAGGGAGAAACAGACTCCCTGCCGAGCAGGGAGCCCGATGCGGGACTCGATCCAGGGACTCCAGGATCATGACCTGAGCCAAAGGCAGTCGCTTAACCAACTGAGCCACCCAGGCGCCCGAAAAACAGACTTTTAGAAAGGCCCTTTGTGTTCAAGAAGACACAGCAGTGAACTGGAAAACATCCACGTATTGTGTTCACTTTTTTGTGTTGTTATGTTCACTTTTTCAAGATGTGATCATTTATAATATAGAGTGCCAATCCTGGCCTGAGGGATCATTCTGGTCTGGGGTCCTTGGCTGTGCCATTATAATCCTACAGAGTTTCTTCATTTGACAAATCGCTCTATACCCTGGAACGTGTAAGAGTGGGCTTTGCTTGCTATTGGTTTAGTGTGTTGCTAAAGAGAATGGACTTTTTTCTGCTCTACTCCTCTCAATGTTACTTTGAAGGGAAGGAGATTCCTCAGCTAGCTGCCAAGCAACTCTCCAGGGAAATCTTAGACCTTCTGCAAGTGAAGGTGACAGCTCAGTAGATGGCGCTCTTCCATCTAAGTCAGTATCCAAGAGTGCTGCTGGGACCCTGGGCTTTAGCATGAACAGATCCAGATCATCCCTCTTGTGACTTATTCTGTTAGAGGGGCTGGCGTTGACATCAGAGTCTGGGTAAATTCTTATCTACCTAAAATTCCACTATCATGATACCAGTTACATAGCTTTTTACTTTTGAAACAGTGACAACTATTTTGTTCCTACCTTTAGTAATTTTTCAAACTGGGTATGTGTACTACAAAGAGGATCCTACATCAATGCTACCAAGTGACCACACTTCTGATAATTTTTTTGTTGTTTTAGAGTCTGTAGCTCGTTCAAGCAAACTGCTGGGTTGGTGCCAAAGGCAGACAGATGGCTATGCAGGGGTAAATGTGACAGATCTCACTATGTCTTGGAAAAGTGGACTGGCCTTATGTGCGATCATCCATAGATACCGCCCTGATCTGATGTAAGTTGTGACAAACTTTGTGTTTCATTTTGTATTCCCTCAGGACCTCAGAGTATTTTGCTATCAGCCAAATTTTATATTTTTATCTAGAATGAGATACATAGCAAGATACTTTTTTCTAGAAGGCAGTGATTAATTTCAGTTTAGTTATATTTAAAACTTCTGTCAAGCATCATGTAGCTGAATCCAGCTGAGGTTTTAAAAATCACAGCACTCAGAAGGTCAAAAACTGGTTTTAACACCCACCTGGGCCTATTAACATCACACAAAGGAAAACTCTGTTTATTGGCCCCAGGTTGAACTCTTCATTTCGGTCAGCTATCTCGCAGATGCTGTTGATCATAAGGAAAACCTCACTAGAACATTTGGCTGGCTGAAGGCAAATATGTCACGACCAGCAAGACAGAAAACGGTGAATACTTACCCGATTTATCATAGTTCATTGGTATTATCTCTGTTAAGAATTGCGCCTCTTGCAAATATACTCTGCCCAGGCCCACAAGATTCAGGCCACTTTACCCACTTGTATCAGTGACACCTTCTCTTGGCCATTCTTTACTCACCTAAATGCAGAATCACTACAATAGGATGACCCCAGGTCAACTACAGTGACCGGTGCACTCAGATTTCCCCCATAGGCATTTGTTACCATGGAAGCCAAACAAGAAGATCCAGAAACAGAAGAAAAGCCTGTTAAATTATCCTGGCTGCCTGTCCTTTTATCATTAGGGCCCAGATTTGTGCGTTTGCTTTAATGATTGCTTAAGGAAACCTAAGAAACATAGTTCCTATTTATATTAGGTTATAAATTAATGAGGCAAGAGCTATTAGAAACAGCCCTACATATAGTATGCTTTAGGAATGGGTATTTCTGATTTGTTTGGATAAAGCTAAGTGACCTCCAGTGCTCCTGTCCCTTAGCTAATGCAGAGGTTGGTGAATGGTAAGTGAAAGTAATCCCCCCTCCCCCCGATCAAGAAAGGATGGGAGAGGAAGAGGGAATAGTTTCAGGATTGTGATGAATGGCACAGAATGCTTTAAAAGAAGACTGGGTGAATCCATTCTCTTCCAAAGGGAAGTCAGGAAAGAAAAGGAGATGGAGGCAAAAGTAGCTGAAGGGAACCTAGCAGGCGAGGTTGGGGGGTGGTAAAGGGAGAAGGCTGCCTGCAGAAGGTCTAGGGAAGTTCTGTGTAACAGACACAAAGCAGTGAGTAGGTGATTTGGCACTCTTTAGACTACAATGACTTCATTCAGGATGAGGCCTTCCTGGTTTAATAGGCTTAATCTATAAAGAAAAGGCATTTAGAAAAATGAAAACCTTGCTAGGAGTCAGTAGTAGGTTAACACAAAATAAGGCCTGCCCAGTTGATCTGCAATCACCTCTTAAAGAAGAATACTATCAGTCTTTACTTGATCGAATGGCAAGAAGTTTGAGACCCAGCGGGAAGTGTTTGTTAATTTAAATACTTGGGAAAACTCAGGAAGTTTAGCAGTGGAAAAATCTTTTGAGGAAGGTTTTGGAATTTCCCTTCAAGTAGAAGGCTGAGTAAGATTTACCAGAGCTGATGCAGTGCATCAACAGCACATCTGGTCCAAACGACACAGCGAGTGATAGTCCTAGGCCTTTAGAAGCAGTCTGGTCCAAATTGGATATTTATCATTATTGAACATTAGTTTAATATGTACAGGCCACATACAAGGTACAAGAGGATATGCAGTAAAGATAGTTCTATTCTTGAGCTTACCTTTTAGTAAGAAATTTATGTTATTGGGAAAATGAGAGTAGTTCTTCAACCTTTCCCCCCCTTTTTTCCTTCCCGAGTAGATCTTTAATCATTTCTTCTCCTTGAGGATGATTTGCATTTTCTTAGTGAAAGGGAGGAGACCAAAAGGTGAGATGAACAGGTTGGCTGTCAGATTGCGGTGATAGCCCCGCACCCTGGATTGTAGCTGAAAGACTAAAAAATGATGATGACTCCACTGATACTGTGTTTTCTGGCCTGAGGACAAGCAGCCCTTGTTGATATGTTTTTCTCATTCTGTTTCTTAGAGATTTTGATTCTTTGGATGAGCAAAATGTGGAGAAGAATAACCAGCTGGCCTTTGATATTGCCGAGAAGGAGCTGGGCATTTCTCCCATCATGACAGGCAAAGAAATGGCCTCGGTGGGGGAGCCTGACAAGCTTTCTATGGTGATGTACCTGACTCAGTTCTACGAGATGTTCAAGGACTCACTCCCCTCCAGTGGTAAGGGGCTGGTGGCCGCTGCTATGGAAGGCCTCCATTTCTTTTTTGTTGTTGCCTGGCTTTTCTTTCTTCTAACCATGTCCTTCATCAATACCACCAAAAGGAAACCTGCACTTACTCTATGTTGGCTGTCCGGGTAAGGCCCTAGAACTTTGCTCCATTATTTTTTCCTTCTCTACTAGTATATTCTCAGCCATTCTTTCTTTTCCCAAACTTTCTCACTAAATCTATAAATATGCAAAAATCATTCCTTTGCAAAATGTTTGCCTTGACTCTACTACTTTCTCATACCCTTTCTCTCCGAACCAGGCTTTTTGAAAGGTGGTTAGTACTTACTAGGATCTCTACCTTCTTTTTTTTTTTTTTTTTTTAAAGATTTTATTTATATATTTGACAGAGAGAGAGAGCGCACACAAGCACAAGCAGGGGAAGCAGGAGAGGAAGAAGCAGGCTTCCCGTCAAGCAGGGAGCCTGACGTGGGGCTCAATCCCAGGACCCTGGGATCATGACCTGAGCTGAAGGCAGCCGTTTAACAGACTGAGCACCCGGGCGCCCCAAAGAGCCATCATTTCTTAAAATATTAACTGGAGTTTCAGTTAAGAAAAAAAGGGGCAGTAGAGTGTGGAGGGAGTTCCTTGGTCACATACATTAGAAAAATGCTACCTTATATTGTTCCGCCTTAGAGAATCACAGTGTACCTTAACAAGCTAAAGGCTCTGAAAAATCCTGAAGTAGTTAAGCTCACATAATTTTCTGTAACTGGACATTTCCCAAACTTACTCGGTCATCAAACTATTTTTCGAAGTAACAGTGGCATCACAAAGAACTCCTCCTCTGTGAGACTTTTTTTTTACAACATAGTGATTTGATAAGTTTTTTTATTATTATTACTATGTTAATCACCATACATCATTAGTTTTTGATGTAGTGTTCCATGATTCACTATTTACGTATAACACCCAGTGCTCCATGCAGAACGTGCCCTCCCCAATATGCATCACCAGGCCAACCCATCCTCCCACCCCCCTCCCCTCTAGAACCCTCAGTCTGCTTTTCAGAGTCCATTGTCTCTCATGGTTCATCTCCCCCTCCGATTTCCCCCCCTTCATTCTTCCCCTTCTGCTATCCTCTTCTTCTTCTTCTTTTTTTTTTTTTAACATATAATGTATTATTTGTTTCAGAGGTACAGGTCTGTGATTCAACAGTCTTGCACAATTCATAGCACTCACCATAGCACATACCCTCCCCAATGTCTATCACCCAGCCATCCCATCCCTTCCACCCCCCACCACTCCAGCAACCCTCAGTTTGTTTCCTGAGATTAAGAATTCCTCATATCGGTGAGGACCTCTACCTTCTAAGGTAACTTCTTTGTAACACTTTGCAGCCCAGCTTCTTTTTTACTGCTCTGCCAAAACTGTTCTCTACAGTCATGAAGAATCACCAAATCCTCATTCTTTTCTCATTTTGCATCGCTCACGCACTTGGCTTTTCTGCATTATTCAGCACTATGGAATTATGTCCTTTTTCTTGAAATTCCGTCTTCTCATTGGCCTCTCTGGTCCTGTACTTGTTTGCTTCATTCTCTTTCTTCTGTAACCGTTCCTTCTCTGCCTTCTCTCTCTTCTCCAACCTTTTGGTGTTTTTCCATCTTTGGCCCTCAGCCTGCTGCCTCAGTCTACCAGAATGCTACCAAAAAATATATTCCTGTTGTCATTTATTGTCCCTGGAGTAAGTATACATAATGCTTTAGAGTGTTGACCATGGTACCCAACTTGGATTTATTTCCCAGTACTTCCACCTGTTTGACCTTAGGCAAGTTACTAAATTTCCCTGTGCCTCAGTTTCCTCATCCATAAACTGGATTTTATGTACATATAACATAAAACTGTGATGTGCTAAGGAGAATGTTTGGCAAACAGAAGCATTTAATGTTAGCAGTATAGTACTAGTTTCAGTTACTTTTAAAATTACTATTGTTACTAATAAAACATTGGAATCCACAGAGTTTGTGGTTCTCCAGTGTCTTCTAGCCTATGTACTCTTATAGATGTCCATGGCTTTTTCTGACCAGATATGCAGTTCTTACAATAGGAATCCACAACTCTAACATCAGTATACCTATTTAGGGAGAGCCTTCCCATTATGTGCACCTAAGTATATGGAGTCTGCATAATCAAAGGCAATGACTCTAAGCTATATACCCTTCCTCCTTTTATCCCTCTACCTTGAAATTTTTATCACGAAGGTGAGGCTTTAGCAGTCTGTTATAACTAACAATCATAGGCAGATACCAACTTTTGAAAAGGAAAAGTGGAGGGTTTTGTGACCGAAGTGGACTGGAAAAAAGAGTTGGTTCTGTTAACATGGATGGAAAAGAGAAAGGTCAACATCCAGACCTTAGTGGAATTTCCTGCTGAGTTCCTCTTGCTTTTGTCAAAGCCGATGAACCTTTAGAGTTTTCTGAGGTTCTATGAGCCTCCTGCAGGGAGTGTAGTTCTGGTCAGTACTTTGAAGCCCCCTCCAGGGCTGTGCTCAACATTGCTTCCTGTTCACAGAGGCCCTGGACCTGAATGCTGAGGAGAAAGCAGTTCTTATAGCCAGCACCAAATCCCCCATCTCCTTCCTCAGCAAACTTGGACAGACCATCTCTCGGAAGCGTTCTCCCAAGGTAAATGGAAGAGGTTTTGGGGGCACCTGGGTGGCTCAGTTGGTTAAGCATCTGCCTTCGGCTCAGCATGATTTTGGGGTCCTGGTATCGAGCCCCACATCGGGCTCCCTGCTTGGCGGGAGCTTCTCCCTCTCCCACTCCCCCTGCTTGTGCTCTCTCTCTCTCTCTCTGTCAAATAAATAAAATCTTAAAAAAAAAAAAAAAAAGGAAGAGGTTTTTGACCTGCTACAAACCTAAAGGCGAGGTATGGTGACTAGGATAATGCAGTCTCCCTCATCTCTTGGTATAGGATAAAAAGGAAAAGGACTTGGATGGTGCTGGAAAGAGGAGAAAGACCAGTCAGTCGGAAGAGGTGAGAATTATCTGGGATTTGCTGGAATAGTCATACTGAATTGCTCTTTTGGGCTGAAGTCAATTTCTAAATTGGTATTGCTAGATCTTTTCATACTCATTTTTATGAGAATTTCTGTGGACAGCTGCTCTTTCAGTGGGCTGTTGCTTTTGTTCAGTGTTTCGGAGAGCAGCTAAAGGAGCATACACACACGTGCACTAGTGCTTTCCTCTCTCTTTAGAAGTTTACATTTGGCGGGAGGCGGTGGCTTTCCTGAGATAGGACAACACCAGCCCAAGTCCGAGTACCTCTTTGTACTGCCCCATGCACCAGCGTCTTGCTGACTGCATGTTGATACTAGAACCTTGAAGAGAGCTGTTAAGCTTAACCTAAAGCAGAAATAGCAGCCACCATGCCACGCACTGGCTTCACTCCTTCTTTGAGGGAAGGGCATTTGTAGGGGGCTCCTCTAACCAAGGCCGGTTTTTGGGTGTTGACATTTGTCAGGAGGACGCGCCCCGGGGCTACAGAGGAGGAAGGCCCACACTGGTGAGCACTCTGACAGACAGGAGGATGGATGTGGCTCTTGGCAATCAGAACAAAGTGAAGTACATGGCAACCCAGCTGCTGGCCAAATTTGAAGAGAATGCACCCCCACAGTCCACTGGCATGAGGAGACAGGTAAACCCCACTTCGTATCTCACCCATCCACGCTTGGTCTGGCCATATAGGAAGGAGGGGTCTTCTCAGTCAAATGAAGTGGGATGAGGTGTGTCTCAGCGAGCACTCATGCGCTCAAGACTATGTCTGGTTTTCTCTTTGTCTGACTGTGGCAGAGAAAAGCATTTTATAAGCTCCTCCTATGCTTTCAGCACTGCTTTCTCCTCACCATTCATGTCTGAGATGTTTGTGGCAAAAATTCAGAAGAGGAATTTAAAGTTTTATATATATCTATACATATTTATATGCTCACATATGTGCAGACATATTTGAATTATAGAAGAGGTAGATGCTTATTGAGGAAAATCCTAGAGAAAATAATAAAGGTAATCAAGACACCTCTAATTCTGTTAACATTTTGTTATATTTCTTTCTAGTCTGTTTTCAGTGCATTGAGGTCATTCGGAATATACACTTTTCTGTTCTGCTTTGTTCATGTAACTTTGGGCATATTCCCATATTGTTCCAAACTCTACAAGCATCTTCCAATATGTGTGTGTACGATGCTTTTCTTCACTCTTCCTCTAGTGTTGGATGTTTTTGTTGTTGCTCATCTTTCATGACAAAGTACAGAGATAATAAATGTTCTTGTGATAAATCTTCTTTTGTGTGTTGCGGATGGTTTTCATAGGCTATCCTCAAACTAGGTCAGGAGTTATGAACACTTTAAAGAGTCATCATGGATACTAACTTGAGAGTGCTAGACAGGAGCATTTGACTTGAGATCTTTGTTGGGTCTTGTCCCTCCTCTTGCTTACCTGAAAGTCACTAAGACTTCTTATAAGAGGAGGTCCTGGGATTTGGAGATTAACACAGGAAGTTTCTTATAAAACTCCCTAATGACCTGAGAGAACATCCAAAGGAAAGGGAGCCCATTCTTTTTATTCTTTTACTCTCTTTCTTCAACTTTTCCATACATATCAGCCATTGTTCTCAGAACCAGGGGTGGGGAGGGTGGGTAATGACTTTGCTTGGAGTCTGGCCATAATTAACTTCTTCTCACATTTAGCCTTTGGTTATTAATTTTTACACTCCAGTCATATGTATTGTGGCTCATAGAGAGGAATAATAATATTCATTGGTAGACATCTGAGGTTGCCTGGCAGCTCTAGCAACCGCGGGATCTGCCCCATCTCAGGAGATCTGGAATGCTCTCCATGGGAGGAAGTCTGCCCCTAAGGGAAGGTTGTGTTCATCATTTTGAGTAGAAAGATTAGTTTTCCAAACCGGAATTAGTAGTTTAGGTTCAGAGCTTTGAGCTAGGGAAGAGGAGAGTGAAAATTACAGCTTCTGATTTCCTCGTTTTTTCCTTTGCATTTACTTTTAGTTTGTGGGGTTGGGGTATTTTGTTTCCTTTGTAAATGTAACTTTCTAAGAATTAATTCTGTGTCTGCCCCCACTCCCCGATCCTAGATGTGTGTATGTCCACTGTGAGTATCTTTTTTGTGTCTTCTCCTACTTTAATGTATTTTATTTTGTTTTGTCTCCATGTCCTGTCCCCCACCCATACTTGGCCTGTGTGTCACAGCCAACACAAGAGCGTGGGGTCAGCCAGCCGTCCTGCTGCCTTCCTGAGCAGGGTCGCCCTGCTCCCACCCCCCAGTGGAAACAGGTAAAGGAGCTGCCCAGGGACCAGAATGGGTGCTGCTTCCCTGGGCCTTCCCACCCTACTCATCCCTCTGCGTCAGCCAGGGCTGAGGCCTACACTTTAGAATCCTAGCTCCCAAGGACAGGAAGCTTCTGTACTCATTTGAGTAGCAGCTCTAGGGAAAAGTTTAACAGACAGTCCTGATTGTATTGTATGATTTGTTTAACTCCTTGGGATTTGAGAAATCAGTTAAAAGAGTAGGTGGTTAATCTGGTGTTGAAACTAGCTGAAGCTCTATGGGAAGTTGTTCCAGATACCTTAGCCTCTCTGGTTTTACCACCATAGCCCTTGTCCCAAGTTGACTTTTTGCTTACATGTGTCCTTGTAACTAGTGGAGGGAGAATCCTGAACTCAGCAAGGCTGAGAATTGGGGCATTGGAGCCTTTCACATTAAATAGGAAAATGTTAGCCAAGAAATATCTTAAACTATGATTTTTATTTGTTTCAGACCCTCGACAAAGATGAGCATGGGCATTTTCTTGGCGTTTTGTCTCCATTTAAAATACTCCTTGAAAATTTTCAGTAAATTTTTCACAGGATCTCCTAGAAAGCTGCTTCTAAGCAGTATTGGATAGGACAGAAGAAGTGGGTGGAAGGATGGCACCTCATTGATAATAGGAAACCCATCAGAAGGATTGGGGCCTCTATTTTCTCCCAAGTCACAGTTGAGCAAGTTCCTCCTCTGTGAGTGCAGCCTGGATTCTCTGTCTTGTGGTTTGGTATCATCTAGGACTAAGATTCTGAGAGGTCAGGTGAGCTGACTCTCGATTTCTTCTTGTGCTATCGAGCGCCAGCTAGTGCTGGGAGGTGCTGGGGAGTGGCAAGTGGATTTTATTTGAATTACATTCAGGGCAAAAGTTTCCTTTCTAACCTCTTTTAAATTAAATAATATGCCACATTAAAGGCAGGGCCCCTGAGGCTGAGATGGAAGCCGGGGAGCAATGTCCAAACTCACACAGAAGCCAAGCTGCTTCTTTCTCTGTGTTTGGAGGAGGTCTTCTGGAAAACAAACAAACAAGACTCATTGGAAAATCCATTTTATTTTCTTACGCTTTGCCTTGAAATCTAGGTGGAGTGTATGATTTGAAAGGTAATTTTTAGTTGAGGATCTGCTGAAGGAGAAAATGAACTCTAAACTAGATTCCCCCAAACTCTAGATTCTGATAGTGTTCAACAAGGTCGCCTGAACTAGGAGGAGCAATGGGGAAGGGAAGTCAGTTGTAACACGTGTAGTGGATGAACAGATGACTTTAACTGTCATGTGCCCAGGGCAGCTTTGGGTTGACTTGCTGGGAAGTCTCAAGGGTATTAAATGTGACCCAAGGAGCCTGGCTCAGCCAAGCCTCTGTTTTGGTGAAGACTGGCATATCAGCTCATCACCTGATGGATCATCAGGAGCTTGGTGTTTGTGGGCCTGCTTGTGTGTCCCCTGTTTATAAAGCATCTGATGGCCTCTGACCTTGTGCGGGGTGCTACATGGAGACGTAACAGCTAGGTTGTCATCTGGGTAATTTATGATCACAGTCAGTGAAGTAGAATATAGCTAGGCTCTAGAGGCAGCAGTCAAACCTGGGTTCTGTGGAGTGGGCACCAGGGATTACAGTTGGAAAGAATATCTGGGTACATCTCAGTGAGTGAAAAACCATGAGCAATGAAAATCCTATAGATCATTGCTATATAGAGTTGAAAATAGTAAATTTACTTGGCTGTGAAACAACTGTAAGTCACAGTTACATGTAATTTTTCCTCAACACTAAATCATGGATGGTATCATGAGTCTTGGCCCTGTAAATTTATCTCCTGAGAGAAGATTCTGTAACATTCTGGTGCTCCAGAAACATGGGAACAGAGGCACTTTGGTGGTGTACTCCATTGGCCCTCTGCTTCTGACTCACCCTGACGATGGCCTTCTTTAGCTCCCTTTAGGAATGAGGGGGGCTTACCAGCGATACCTTGCCATGACTCACTTTTTGTTTTTCTTGAAGAGGTTTGGATTGAGGCAGGAGGGTGTGGCAAGCACAGCAATCAATGGTGGCTGAGTTGGCGCAAGGATCGGTTTTAACTTAGGTCATGGTATGGAAGAGGGAAAATGAATAACAACTTTGCTTGCCGGTGACTTCTCTTTTTTACCTTCCTTTGTAAACACTTTGGCTCTTCCCTCCCCACCCTTCTGCCTTTTGGTCTCAGAAATGCGTCCAGCAGGCAAACTGCACATTAATCAGCCTTGGTTTGGAAGTAAATTGTCATGAGAGGTTGGAACACAGGGGGTCTGTATCCCCTGGCCTCACAGCCTCCACAGCTTTTTCTCCCTCCCAGGCTTCCTCTGTGTGCTGCCCCACATGGTCATTCTGGGCATGAGGAAATGGAGGATTCCTCTGGCCTAGAAACAAGTAATTGTTTCTTAAGTACCGAAAAGTTCTCTAAATCACAGATTCACAGGAAGGGAATACAATGGAGAGGGGCAAAATGGGGAAATAATCCATGAATATATATGGTGTTCGGTTAATGACAGATGTACTTACATTCTTATATTCTGTTTCCTGTACTTCCTTGTATTTCCCTGGTGGTTTTCCAGAACCTTTTAAGTGCACTCAAGGGGCTGAGGAGAGGGAAGCCATGGCAGGGTGTTGTCTTGAGCGGGCCCTCAAGGAGAGTGCCACTTTGCTGCTGGTGGGTGTACAGGTGGCGGAGCCCTCGGGAGGCGGTCACCACACTCCCCTCGTGATGGTTGGCCTGTGTGCCCTTTCTCTCTACCTACATCCTAGCTCATTTCTTCTATCCTCAACTTCCCTGATAAAACCAACAAAGAATATATCCTTGATCCCTGGCATTTAGAAAGTGTTACACTGTAAGTTCTGCCCCAAGACCAGCTACAGATACTACCCATGTGGTCTGCACTTACCAGATAGCGCGAGTATGGCATGGAAGCCTGCCGCCGACTGTGACAAGCTGTCCTCCCTGACCATACAGCCATTGCTGTGGACGATGGAGAGGCACGGGAGGGATGGCTTTGGTGAATGCTCTTAATCCTTCTAGAACCAGCCTAAACATGGCCCCTGTTTCACCATTGTTCTCTCTGTTTGTGTCTGTTGGTGTAAAAGCGACGGGAAAAGGAGCGTTCTCGGACCTGCCCCAAAAAAGTGATCACACTCCCTCCTCCCCTTACTCCACCTCCCTGTCGGGCGCCTGGCAGCCAGCAGGTGATCTTTTCTGCATGCTCTGTGGTCCTCGTCTCTGTCTTCCTGCCTGCCTGCGTAGGTGGCTAGGGTAGAGACCAAATCAGGATTCCCTCTTTTCAGAGCTAACAATTAAAAAAACAGAAAGACCAGGGGCGCCTGGGTGGCTCAGTCATTAGGCATCTGCCTTCGGCTCAGGTCATGATCCCAGGGTCCTGTGATCAAGCCCTGTATCGGGCTCCCTGCTCCGCCGGAGGCCTGCTTCTCCCTCTCTTACTCCCCCTGCTTGTGTTCCCTCTCTCTCTGTGTCTCTCTCTGTCAAATAAATAAATAAAATCTTTAAAAACAACAACAACAACAACAACAAGAAAAAAAAACCAGAAAGACCATTTGTAGCAGAAGCAACCTTACTGCTACAAATGAACAATTCCCGATCAGACCCCAGGATAGCACATAATACATTCAAACACTAGCTGGTTTAATCTAGCCCCACATCATAGCAAAACAACTATGCAAGCAGAGACTAAAACTATTATTTGTCACAGATGCACAGTCCCCAAAGCCCTGGAGAGCAACACATTTTTTATATAACCTCATTTAAAGCAGCCACTTTTGTCTTGCTACCCAAGGAGATATAATTAAGATGGGCTTTTGGAAGCCTTTTATAGGGCCTCACTTTATGAATTTGGTTCCTTCTGATTTGGAGAGCCCTGCTTCTTGCTTATCCAACTTGGGCCAGCAAACACCTGCCCTTCCCGTCTACCCATTCACACTCCAGGCAGATCATTTGAAAAATGCTTTATAGAGCAGTTAACCACAGACATGATTAAAGAGGACAACAAGCATACTTATATAAAGTATACTTATAGAATATAAAGTGACCTTTGTAGGATATCCCTATAAAATAAGATACTAATTTTAAAGGCAGGAACTATGGAAAGATATTTTCTCAACTAAGGTGGCCTATTTAAAAGGTGACCCCTTGTAATGTGTCTGATTGTTAAAGACCCACACTGTGTACCTGGGTCTAAGAACTGAGCCACTGTAGGTTTAGCGATTATGCTATGCCTTGTCTCTACATAAGAACTAAAACTTAGATCCAGGTGGTATTCTCAGTTCTTGCTGTGTTATCTCAATCAATTCTCACAATAACCCTACAAGGAAGGTACTATTATCACCTCCATTTTACGTATGAGGAGACTGAGGCATAGGGTAAGGAGGCCAAGCACTTGGTACAAGTTCACACAGTAAGTAATGGAGCCAGGAGTTGAATCTGGGTGATGTGACTTGAGCCCAAGCTCTGGCCTCATCCTCCCTGTGGAGACAATATGCCCATGGGCCACATTACAGGCTTTGGATTAGTTTTTCCACCAGCACACAGCCATAAGCTGAATCCTCAGCAATAATCCAAAGAGTGATAAGAGTAGCCTTCCCTTCTCCCACGTGATTGCTGATAGTGGTTTCTTCAGGTCGGTGGAGGCAGCCATATGCCTGTCTTCAGGATTTCCATCCCTGTCATGTACACATTCCTGTCTGCTGACTGAAAATGCTTCCAGTCGTCCACGTTTCCCTTTAACAAATAATGCTTTGGTCCCATGTTCTTGTTCAGGGACCACTCCCTACCCTGGAGTTTCCTCTGGACTGTTGTAACGGCCATTTGTTCCAGGCAGTTTCCATCTCCCCACCTTTCCTTTCTAATGTCTTGTTGTGGAAAGCTTCACCCTCCTAACCGGCCTCTCCTATTAAGCCTTCCATTGAACACCTCTGATCTTGTGCCACTGTGTGAAAGAAATACGTTTGTTCCACTTTGGTACTAACCATAGTTCTTTATATATGTGGCTGACCTTACTGGAGGCCAGATGGACAGAGTGCTGGACAGAGAGTTGTCCTAGGGTCAACTGTGGGACGTGGGATTTGATAGAGATGGGAGTGTGGTTACTTGGGGTGGGGATCTGTCGGGCAGGGGATATGTGTTGAAATGAATTCTGAATTTCTGGCACTCTCACTTAGTAGGTCCATATAGAACATTTGGATGGAGCTTAAGTTTCTACTTTGTTGCCAACAGACATACAGGGATCTTGATGCTGACAGCCGTGGCAAGCAGAGTCCCCACCATGAGAGGGTAAAAGAGCATGAACCGTGGCATGGGATGCTGAGGGCCAAACAGATGGGGCACGCTGTGGTGGTGGGACAGAGGGAAGGTGGGAATGGTCCCTGCTCCCCTTGCTTTGTGCACACTCTTGTCACCCAGCCAAGAGCAAGAATTCTTGTTGCTAACCGTGTTGACCCATGTATATAGCATTCACAGGAGAGCGTTCATCTGTTCAACATTCAGATCAGTAAGCAGGTGGCATTTGCTTCTGTCTTTTGATATTCAGGGTTCTAGAGGTAGAAATACTGTGAGAGCCAAAGCTCTTACTGGTGTAGGGATTTTGCAAGTATGAAGAGGATGGAGGGGAAGGAAGGCGGTGACAAGATGCGGGTATGTAATAAAAAGGTTTAGCTACTCTTTTCTGAAAAACTGAAGGGGCAATTAGTGAATACACCTGGCCATCATATCATTTGACAAATAGCAGAAATGCCCATTTTAAAAAGCCTGCTTATTTTATGAAACTTTTTGGGTTGTTATTGTTACCCTTAAACCTGGTCCCTGAGTGGGTATAGCTCTGCAGCAAGAGTGAAGAATCATCTCTTAATTTCGCATGGGCCTTTTTCTTTTATTTTTACCTCTCTTTCTGCTTTTGCTCTCTGAGAAATAGAGTCACAGCTACGGAAGCTAGTGCTGTCTCCCTAGGCCCTGTTACCATGTGAGGAGCAGGCGGTCTGTGTGCTGCCAGGACCACACGTGGATCGGTGCTGGGTGAGGGGGAAGAGACCGGGATGGAGGTGGAAAGAGGGCATCCCTTTCATCTCCTCACGCACAGCCTTGCTCTGTTTCCTTACCTTCTGCAGGGGCTGCTTCCTCCCACGAGCACTGTGTGTGCCCAGCCTCTTTCTTCTTCCCAGGCTATATTCCTTTCAAAAAGAAAACTAGGCATTTTCATGGAGAAGGGCAAGCCGTGCATTTCAGGGCATGCATATTTAATGAGGTGCTGATGATTTTTCATGAAACAGTGCCTAAGCAAAGAAGAACAGAGGGAAGTGTGTCGAGGAAAAGGAGAGATGGAGAGATGGGCAGGGAGAAGCTGTCAGACGTCTGGGGCTGCAGTGCCCAGAGGAAAGGTAGCATTTTCCCAGTGAGCTGCTTTCTGGATTCTTCACTTCAGGGTTCCTGTCTAGATACCTTTAAGGGTTGCCATTTATGTTCTCTTCCAAGATTTTCTCTCCACTATTCCATAATCTTGCCTGTGCACTCACCTGCTCCTTCACCTTCCCACCCCCAGTCTTCCCATCATCTTCACTGCTTTGCCATCTCTGGCGGGGAGCTGCCTTCTGTCTTGTTTCTCTCTGGTGGGTGGTACTCTTCTACAGAGATTCCCGCCCCCGCCCCGGGCCTATGTTTCTGAGCCTGCCCCATGTGCTGAGCTGAGGGCCAGTGAGCTGGCTGAGCATCTGGAGCACCCGTTAAAGCTATGAAGTTAATGGGGGCTCTGAACTGGGGGTGCAGTGCATCTGCTTGGAGCTAAAGGGACAGAGGGCTGGCTTCTCTTACCATGACAGTACCTCTTCCTTCTACCCTGCAAGTACTTCACCCTGAACCTGGTAGGAAACTAAGCAGTTAACACTTGCCAGAGCTCTCAGCCCCCTTCTCCCTCTCTGGGGACTGGACGGCTCCTGGCTGCATGGGCCCCGGAGGATCTCGGCTTACTTTTGTTACACATGCTGCATGTAGTCCGCAGAGGATGTGGGATCTTTTCTCCTGATCATTGCTGGGATTTGGCTGGCTCCTTGGCAGGCAGTGTTTCTCTGAGCACTGGCAATAAGAAGAGGCAAAGCCACATTTCTGGCCTTTGTGGAGAAGGAGTCAGCTTCACTCTAGATTTGCTATCTCTGTTCACTGTTCGTAAGCTGGTAGAATCTCCTTCTGCCCAGAAATCCCAGCTCAAGCCAGTGAGGGGCTCTGCAGAGCATAAGGAGTGTGTGTGTGAGCAGGACACCACCTCTGCCTTCTGCCACTTCCTGGCCGGCAGCGTTTTCCACTTGGGGTGAATTGAATAAAACCACCAAACAGGAGAAGACAAGGCTTGCAGAGGAGGCTCACAACTACAGTGACTGTGTTCCAGAGCAAGCTTCACTATAAGCATGAGGCAAGGGTGAGCTAAAAGCAAAATGGAAGCCTGGAATGAGCCATTCATGCTTTTGGGAATAAGAATATTTCTTTACTTTGTTTATTATTTAGATAAAGGTCTAAAACTCCCAAATTCCTCATATTTAGGTCACTGTGTAACTTTATTTAACGTTTCCTTTGATTTTTTTTTTTCTCCATCTTGTATTTTGTAGCCAGAGCCTGAACCTTCTCGTCGATTCTTTGTTGACCAGTGGGAGCTTTTTCTTAGTCTTCGCTCCTCCACCCGCCCCGCTTCTCCTTCCTCTGACTCCCTCCGACAGGTAGCACAGCCTGGAACTTGGCAAAGCTCTTTCCTCTTCAGCCTCTCTTCAGCCTCTCCTCAGTTCACCTATACAAATGTCATGTGGCCCAATGAGGTTGCAGAGCTCTTAACTTTGGCCTGTCTTCTGTGGGAATCCACCTGTGTCTGTCTGTTTTGCATGTAAGGTCCGTAGGCATACACCAAAGTTACGGAGGCTGCTAGCTTTCATGGCATCAAATTCTATCAAATAAACCCACTTTTTTTATATTTCAACTATATCGAATACTAAAGTTTTCAGCCATTAGCTTTTTAAATTCCAAATGTCTTCATATTAATACGTATGACAAAATATGGACCATAGTGTAATTAAATCTCTTAAATGGAGTGGTGATTATGCAGTATTCTGGGTGCCTCTTGAATTGTAATCATTTGAAGAGTGAGCCCTGCTTCTTCCTACAATGGAACTGATCCAGCTGTGGAGTAGCTTAGAGAGTGATTGGCAGGTCTTTTTGCCCTGTTTGTGTTTCCCATTCTCAAGCAGTCTATGCAGTACGTGTGCGGAAGCACATGCATGTGTGGTGGCAAAAGTATAAGTCTAACAATTGCTACATTGAGACTCTTTCTTAAGATTGGGGAGAAGGAAACCATCTGCTTTTCATGCCAGAAAAAATAGAACTTGAGTCTCCACCTCTCTTGGGGGATGCTTGTCAATATTACCACATTGCTGAGAACTGAATGTGACCAATGCCTTTGCATGCAGGCAGCCCTGGGCTGTATGTATTTGCTGAGGATGCCGGTTCTTGGTGGGAGGGAAGGGTCCTGGCTGAGCAGTGAGGACCCAGGGTTTGCTCAGCATCCCAGCCTCATGTGTGACATCTGGCCTACACTCTCACTTACTTTCTGCAGAATGAAGCGCAATTTTCTGCACCCTCAGTGTCAGCTGTTAAATGATCTGCTCTGCTTTGCCTGGTGCCAATCTGTTCCAGGCGTAAGCTTCCCTGATATCTCTAAGCTAAAGAAGGTTTAGATCTTAGAGCCACTTGTTTTTCTCGACTACTAATGGGTATAAGCTGTGAAGTTAATGAGCAAGTGGCACCAATCCTTGGAAATCTCCTCATTTTAAATTGAAAAATAGAATTGACTCCTCAGTTCCAGCGGAACCCTGGAGAATTGTTTGCTCATTTGTGCTTCTGTTATTCTCATAGAGTTCACATGGAGTTAGTTTTCCCCCAGAGCACTTCCCTTATTTGTTCCTGCCTAGCCCAGGGCATGCTGTTGCTCAGGCCCGCTATTCTCTTACACATGGCTTTGCGTGTTGTCCATTCAAACCACTTCCTAATGGAGTTGTGAACATCCCCCAAGACAACTGCCCTGGTGTGTTTCTCAGTCAGAATTAGAGTCAGGACTCCTCAAACTCGGCAGGCAGCTGTCCTATTGCACATAGTTAATGAGAGGAGTGTTGCTCACACAGGGTGTCCTGATCATTTCCACGTGGAAGGGTGACTGTGGAGTCTCTAAAGGACAGCCAGCAAGGCTTTGACCTCATTCCCTGGGGACAGGCTCAAAGCTAGGCTGCCTAGCTGGAAGGCTTACAATTGAAATTTGGTAGTTTCTTGTTACTTCTTCGGCATTGCTAGAAAGAGGATTGAATTGGTTAGATTTTTTCTTTTCTCTTTTTTCAACCTATAAAAAAATAATCCCTCCTGAACTAAAAACACATTCTGATTTCCCAAGACTATACCAAACCACTTGTCTGCATGGCTGCAGGTGTTAGCCTCCTGCAGCCGAGTTTAAGAAGCCCAGCCGGGTCTAGAAGGTTTTAGCCTTAGTGCCCAGATAGAACATACAAATACCAACAGAGAGAATGAGCCGAGAAGGATTTTTCCAGATAAAGCTCAGGAATATTTGATGAATATGACAGGGGTTCTGAGCGAAGCATTAATAGGAGGAAGGTGATCATCACTAGTAAGGCTACTGGCATCTTTTACCCAAGTGGAGAGTCAGCCCTGTAAGAGTGAGCTTGGTTTCTTTCTAAATGAGGAAGTAACTTCCCAAGCCCTCCCCAGACCCAACTTGAAACATGCTGTTCATCTGGACATCTGCTGTTTTGGTAGGAGCTGTTCATCTTGAATTCTTCATATGTAATTTGAGTCACTAGGATGTGGGCCCTTATTCTGTTCTATGTTTGTACCCATCCTGTCTTCCCACCTCCCTGAACTATATATTCCGAAAAGACATGAAAGACTAAGTTCTCCCTTACTGAATTTAATTATTCCTGCAGCCATTATTCTTACCAATGCTGATACGTCTGTGTGGACAATGACACCATTTTTCTTACCACCAAGTTTCCCTGCTTGTGGGCACTGTGTTGGCATGGTTTGCTGCTGCACCTTGTATTCATTTTATACCTTTCAACGATTTTTTTCCCTGTCTTCTTAATTTATTTATTTTTTTCCTTCTCATTTCCCTTCATTCTGGTCATTTTATAATCTCCAACCAATAGAAGTATATAAAGATGTACACGGGCGGAGTGAGCTCATTGGCTGAGCAGATAGCCAATCAGCTTCAAAGGAAAGAACAGCCCAAAACCCTTCTAGACAAGAAGGAACTGGTAAGAGATGTGTTAAGGGCACTGTCTATCTAGATATAGCACAGCTGTGGTAAATAAACCTGGTTAATTTTAAGTAGTTTAGTAACATATATAGCCAATATATGCCATGTGGTAATTTTTGTTTAGGTTATCTGAATTTTGTAACAATTTCTAGGACTGAATGGTTGTTTAGAATGTCGTGTGGAAAAACATACTTAGTATCTCTAAAAGTGATTTCTCTAGAGTCCAGGGGACCCATATCCATGTAGAACCATGTGAACACTGAAGAGGTATTTTTATGCTACCTTCAAAACAGAATTCTGCCAAAATAATTCGGTTTGATTGTTGTGAAATTCTGTAAAACCACCTGGGGTCTCCTCTCGACTGTTGATGAACATCGATTCAGAACCCAGTTCCTGCTGCTTGCTGCATAGAAGGCACATGTGACAGTTTCTGCACTCGTGCCGCTGTTTGGGGGGAGAGCCAGTAGCAAAGTGAGCCATCTTAGTCTGTCTCAAAGCAAAATCGCTTAGTGAGGGTTAGTTTCACATCTGGAGAGGGTCGTGCACCCCCTGGAGGTGAGCCTGAGAAGTGTTGCCCTAACGTGCCTCCCACTGCCCCCCATTACAGGGCTCGATAAAGAAGGAGTTCCCACAGAACTTGGGAGGCAGCGACACGTGCTATTTCTGCCGGAAGCGGGTCTATGTGATGGAAAGGCTGAGTGCTGAGGGCAAGTTCTTCCATCGGAGCTGCTTCAAATGCGAGTACTGTGCCACCACCCTGCGCCTCTCGGCCTACGCCTATGACACGGAGGACGGTAAGCCTGTTTGCACTTAGATACTGGGCCTAGGGACACTGTTTTCCATGTGAACTGATCTTAGGGCCTCTTACTGCGTTCTTATATATACATTTTTTTCTGCTTCGCCTAACCCTTCCCATCCATCTCCCTTTACTCTTCTGTTTTTTTCTCTGAGACTCTTATAAATATTTCCCTAAAGTCACCAGGCTGTAGCATAGCATTACTCAGCAGTGATGGTAATGAGAATGGCATGTGTTTACCTAAATCACTTCCCTGGCTTCACAGACATGTGTTTCTTACCTCAGGGTGGGATCTTAAAATAAAAGGGACACAAAGAGGATGAGGCTTTTTTTTGTCTTTACTTTAGAGAAGGGGATATCACAGGTCTGTAGAAGTCCTATCTCTTGCCACAGGTCAGTGACAGCAAATTAAAATTGGATCTCATGTCGCCTGGGTTCTCTCAGACTTTGCTTCTGGAGGATGACCAAATTATGCCCATCTCTCTCTAGCATCAGCATCTCTCTGATGAATTGAGAGTTTGTTCCACAGGATCTAAATCTAATTTACTGCAGTGTTCAAGCCCTGGCCTTTTGTGGCATGTATTGTTTTTTATAATAGACCTTAATGGAGCAGAAGGTGGGGAATTATACAAATAGGTGACAAAGCCTGATAGACAGACATGTCTGCCATTTGAAAACTCTTTAAGATTAATTGAAAAGGTCACCAAAGACATTGATTATTGAATTCATTCCTGTGGAGTGCTGAAGGAACTTCATGAGAGGCAGTCTTACTCATTCAAAAGTAATGAAAAGACCTAGATTAATAGGAGTCCTCACAGAGGTGGCATTATGTGACCTCTTTTTGGATTCTCAGACCCAATTCCAATGTAAGGGGGTGGGGAGTCCCTCACCCCACCAGCCCCACAACACCAAGCAAGTCTCTTTCACCAACAGGGTATATGAGAATTCAGCTCAATTCTGACACTGTCTACTCTGCCCAGAGATAGCATCAGATTCCACAGGTTAAGGGCTCAGGCCTAGAAGACTGCCCCTCATCCCCCACTTTAGACACCAGTCACAAGCCCCAGGCTGTTACTTGTGCTTCTGACCCACTAGCTACAGATTGGGGGTTCCAACAACCTCTTCCTTAGGTTCTTTTCATTTGCTAAAACGTCTCACAGAACTCAGGAAAACACTTAAGTTTACCAGTTTACTAAAGAATATGATAAAAGTTAGAAATCAACAGCCACATGAAGAGATACATAGGGCAAGGTCTGGAGAAAGGGCATAGAGCTTCCATGGGGCAACCCTCCAGGGGCGCACTGCTCTCCCTGTAGCTTGACATGTTCACCAACCCGGAAATTCTTCAGACCCCATCCTTTTGGGTTTTTATGGAGGCTTCATTGCAGTCATGTTTGACCAAGTCATTGGCCATTGTTTGATTCAATCTCCAGCCCTCTCCCCTGGAGAGTTGGGGAGTACCCTAAAAAGGAGATACCCTCTAATCCCACAGTTCGTCCTTCTGGCAACCAGCCTCTGCCCCTTGGGTGGGGTCTAAAAGTTACCTGTATTACTACAACAAAAGACACCTTTGTCTAGGGAATTCCAAGTGTTTGGAGCTGAGTCAGGAACTATGGACCTAGACCAAATGTATAGGGGAAATATATTTGGTTTTCTGATATATATGTATGTCCATTACTACATTGGTAGGTAATTTTTGACTGAGGAGACAGTTGAAGATCCTTCAAGGTCCAGCCAGTAGATCCCCAAGTATTTTTGCCCATAGATTGTGTACTCATCTTTGCCACATTCTCTTGAGGACATGGATGAAATGTAAAATGTTCCTCAAGGAGCTTACATTCTGATGGGCATGATAAGACAAGGGCACGTGGAGCAACAACAGACGGTGAAGAGTATATAATTAAGGGCTAAGAGACAAAATATAGATTATAACTTTGCAGAAGTTCAGAGGAGGAAGAAACTGATGAAGCTCCCAAGTTTTTAGGAATGACTGAACTGACCTTAGGCTAGACTCTGAGAGACAAGTATAAAATGTCTCAGTGGAGGGCGCCTGGGTGGCTCAGTCGGTTGAGCGACTGCCTTCGGCTCAGGTCATGATCCCAGGGTCCTGGGATCGAGTCCCACATCGGGCTCCCTGCTGGGCGGGGAGCCTGCTTCTCCCTCTCCCACTCCCCCTGCTTGTGTTCCCTCTCTCGCTGTGTCTCTCTCTGTCAAATAAATAAATAAAATCTTTAAAAAAAAAAAAAAAATGTCTCAGTGGAGGAAGAGAGGGCATACCAGGCAAGAGAATGACAGGAGCTCAGATGGGAATGACCATGACATTGGGAGCAGATGAGGCAGGCCAGCCTGGCTGGGTGCATTGTTGTTGACTGGGGCGGGGAGGACAACAGATCTAAACAAGCTCCCCAAATTCTAACCCAAATGAATTTTTCATCAACCCAGCCCCTCCACAAAAGACAGATGAACTAGAGAAAAGAATGGAATTTTAGGGATCCTAAAGCTTTAGTCTGTTCTTTATCCACATTACTGTGTGACTCAGAAATCTAACTGAAGGGCCTCAGATAAGAAAAAGGGAAGTCATAGGCTGTTTGTAGGAGAAAAGAAGTAACCCAGGCACTGTGGTGGGCCCTCTAATACATACCATGTCCTTCTGTCCTCACAACAACCCTCTACAGTAACTAGTTTTATTATTGCAATTTTACAAATCAGGAAGCGAATTCAGAGAAGTCATAAGTTCCTTGTTCAAGTTCACACAAAACTAGTAAGTGCTGGTTTGCACAGAATGACCTCTGGGATCCCTTCCAGGTCAGACATTCTGGGATTAGTGACTCTGGGCCTGTGTCAGCTCCACACTGGCAAATTGAGCATCTTACGCTTCAGAGAAATACCATGTTTTACCCTTGTCCCTGATTAGTCTTCCTTTCAGCTCTTTTAAAAGGATGCAGTCTGCCCTAAAACTAAGCTCCTCTTTCTCTTGCCAAATACTAGCTTATTTTCAACTGCTGCCAGCTCTTTAGACAAGGACTCTAAATCAGACAGTGTGTCACGTCTTCCCCTGTCATCTCAAGGAGAGAAAACCCACTACCTGCTAAGGTGGTCTGTGAAGGGCCACCATCAGTAGCAACAAGCCTGAAACAGTCCACTGCTCTCTGTCTCTTCGAGTACCAACCACCCTGACCACCCTCTGCATCTTCCATTGGGACTACTGGTCTCCCTGCCTCCACCATTGCCCCCTACAGTCTGCTTCCACAAAGCAGCCGAGGGATCTTAAAAGATGTAAATCAGATATTTCCAGCTCCTGCTTTCTACCCTTACTGTCTGCTGCAGTACAAATAGAATCCGTTCAGGCTGAGAGCTTCGCTTGTCTACCCCGGCCTACATTTCCTCTCTGCTGCCAGCTAGCTCACTGTACTCCTGCCACATTGGTTTCTTTCCATTTCATAAACCTAATTAAGCCACTGCTACCTTATGACTTTGCACCAGCTGTCTCCTCCCCTGGAATGCACTTCCCCCTAATCTTCACAGGGTAGGCTTCTTGTCATTCACAGCTTTGCTTGCATAGTCCCTCCTCAGAGAGGCATTTGCAGACCCCCTGATCTGTGGTACTCATCATTACCTGATACTTATTCACACATTATCTGCTCTATCTGAGCAGAGACTAGTCTGTCTTCTTGACTGGAACATTCTCAGTGTTTAGATTAGTACTCCTATGATGGCATTCAGTGAGCTGTTGAATGAATGAGTCATGGCCCATTATGCCTTAAGCTTGCCCTTTAGCCATTTGTTTCCTCTGATTTCTTTTTCTACTCACTCCCATATTTAATTATCAAGATTTAATTTATTTAGACCATCTAAAATCAGTGGCTTGACAGAACCAACCATAATTTGTGGTTAGTTTATAACATTAGTGTGGCTGTATTCACTGATTGAGACAGGCATCATAGTGACTAAAGGTATAGACTTTGGAGCCAAGCTTCCTAGGTTCAAATCCTCTGTGAGATTTACAGAGTAGGGGACACTTTGGGCAGGTTACTTAACCCTCTGTGCCTCACCTGGAAAAAGGTGGAGAGTAACAATATCTACCTTATTAAGTTCTGAGGACTAAATGAGTTGGTAGATATTATAATAGTTAGGATAGTATCTGGCACATGATAAATGTTAGATAAAAATTAGCTCTTTTTGTTATTAATCTAAGAAGTAAAAAGTACCATCATGTTGAGCTTGGGAAGGGGTTTGAGGAGATACATTAATTGAGTACCTGCAACACATAATGTGATTTCTCATTTACTTATCTCACCTTATGAGTATTATCTTCATATTCTACATGAAGAAACGTGTTTCAAAATGCTAAATAGTTCACATGGCTATTGAGTGCTTGAGACAGTATTTAAACTGAGATCTGACTTCAGTGCTCATGTTCCCTCTATCACATTACACTGCATTTTTAGAGAAAACAATTTTCTGGACTTTTCTTGAAAATTACCTTTTGGTTAGGTTTGGGACTTGTTTTGAAACCTAAGCCTCTTTCATTAATTTAGGATACTATAGCAGAATTCAGTGAGGACTCCCTGGAGTTTAGCCTATTGAGTTGTATTTTAAAATACTAGGATTCTAGGGTGCCTGGGTGGCTCAATTGGTTAAGTGACTACCTTCGGCTCAGGTCATGATCCTGGAGTCCCTGGATCGAGTCCCGCATCGGGCTACCTGCTCGGCAGGGAGTCTGCTTCTCCCTCTCCCTCTCTCCGTTTGTGTTCCCTCTCTCGCTGTGTCTTTCTCTGTCAAATAAATAAATAAAATCTTTAAAAAAAAAAAAAAATACTAGGATTCTACTTAGTAGAAAAAAGCAAACTAATGCAGGGGAAAAAAAATAGAAGAAAGGAATGAAAGTAACTATAACTATAGTTTTCTGGTACTATAATCAAACAAGACTTGGTTATAAATAATAGAAACCCAAGTCAGATTAAAGTTGAAGCATTAGGTTTATATCTTCCTTGTAGA